TGTCCACCTACAGATAAATAATTGGATAAACAAAATGTGGTATAAACATGCAATAGAATACTATTCAACCGTGCTGCAACATGGATGCACCTTGAGGAAATTATGCTAAGTGAAATAAAGCCAGCAGCGAAAAAGACAAATACTGTATGATTCCATTTATATGAGGAATCCACTTATACCTAGTGTAGTCAAATTCAGAGAAATAGAAAGAATGGAGATTGCTGGGGGGCAGGTGGGAAAGGGAAGTAGGAAGCTGTTGTTTAAGAGTTTCAGTTTTGCAAGATGAAGAGTTCTGTGGATAGATGGCTGTGATGATAGTACAACAATGGGAATGTACTTAATGCCACCAAACTGTACACTTATGGTAAATTTTAGTTATATATATTTTACCACCATTTTAAAAAATAAAAATTAATTAATTTTTAAAACCCGAAAAACAAATCTATTTCTTATTCCCATGAACCAAATGTACTTTTTTTTTTTTTGGTCTTAAAAAAATCTTTTAGAAAATAACATCAAGAGCAGTGACAACATCTTGTAGCTTCTAAAACAGCTTTCGGAGAAACAGGAAGTACAGTCTGACTAAACAGAGAAGAGGAAATGATCATTTCCCTGCTTGTCTTCGACACTGTTTATATAAAAATATTCTGCCCTCTTAGATGTTTTGACTTTCGGTATCCTCCTCCTAGGCAAGCCGGAAACCCTCAGGGTTGACATCTTTACTCTTTGTTTCTTTGTAACTGAAAGTCAGCATATGAAAAAGAATTTTTAAGTAAAGACAGCCAAGCAAGAAATAGAATCTCCATTTTATTTATTTCACACATCACTTCCCAGTCAGAGATTCACACACATTAAGTTCTGCAAATTTTCCCAGTTTATAAACCAGGGCCCTAATTAAGTTTCTTAAGATTCTCCAAATTACTTCCTCTATCATGAAGATCTTCTGTGGGCCCAAATAAAGTTTAAGAAATAATTAAAGTATACTTGGTAACACAAAAGCCCTTTGAATTCCCAATTACCTCAACAGAATTTGTTTCTTTTGCTGTATTTTAATCCCTCCATCTGCAGAAAGAACATAAAAAACAAACAAACAAAAAACCCTTATTTTATAGTACCAATGAATTTATTTTTCATTAAATACATCAAAATATGCATAGTTATGGGTTTTAATTATGGTTTATGTAGTTATACTCGACCTCCAGATTATCTATATAAATTATTTGTAACTCTTCTACTAAGGAAGTTTATCTATTCTCCCCATTTTTTCATTTATTCAATATTTATTGATATCAGAATGAACTCATGGATGTTCATCTTGTACCTTGAACTGTAATCAAATGCTAATTTATTTTGTTGCTCATATTGTCCCAGCTTTGGCCATTGTAGGCTTACATTGTACTTGGCAGAAGAAAAAAACAAAAAATAAGAAAAAACTGAGCATCTACTATCTGCAAGTGTTGTGTTGGGTCCTTTTGCCTTTTAAATTCATTTTTAGTGGTATTCAGTTTCTAAATCTCATGTACCTCCCAGGAATGGAAGCCCTGGCTCTCTAACCAGATGGTGACTTTGCACCAGTTATTTAACCTTTCCAAACTCCAGTTTCTTACTCTGTAAATGGAGGGTAATGCCTAATTTGAAGGGTCAGGGTGAGAATTATAAAATTAATATGTGTTCCACAAAAGAATAAATTATTCTACTTATATGAGGTGCCTGGAATGGTCAAATTCATAGATACAGAAAATAGAATGGTGGTTATCAAAGGCTGGGTGTGGGGGAATGGGGAGTTATTGTTTAATGGGTATGGAGTTTGTGTGGGAAGATGAAAAAATTCTGGAGATAGGTAAGTTACTATCCTAAATGGCTTTGGCAGGTGAATGAACCAAACAAACTCTTACAGACAATACCAGTTCTATTTTTCTATGATTCTGTTCTTTTCAGCAACTGAAATTCACATAGCACATATACAAGGCTACTTTCAAAAGTTTGGAAAAATGGAATTAAAAGATAATACAAATCTTTCCATGAATTTTCTGTAGCTTGTAAAGAACTTTCACGTATTATCTCAATAAATCCTCATAAACCTCTTGAAAGTTACAAAAGACAGATATTACCTTCATTTTACAGATATAAAATGTAATTTCAGAGAGGCCAAATGGTGTTACCTAAGATCACATACTGAATCTCCAAATATCTAATTCAATGATTATCCCACCATATTTCACTGGATCTTATGAAAATTATTCCCATGTATACCTCCTCTATTCTAAGTTTTGATTGTCACTCTAAATCATATTTACATTTTACTTTTTAATATATGTTTATATTTTATATATTCTTATTATATTTTTCTAATATGAGATGGTAGCTGTGACCTCTTCCCTCTCCTCCCACATTTTCTACTGACTTCCCATCTTAGTGCGTTTAAGAAATACAACATGATATTGCTGTGAAAATAAAGGACAAAAGCAATCTTACTCTCAATGTTCATTAGCTTGAAAGCACAATATAATACATAATTTTAGCAGGGAACTTATGGTCTGTCCATAGATTGGGATTCAAATAAGTCATAACATGGGCTGGCCAGTTAGCTCAGTTGGTTAGAGCACCAGCTGCCAAGAAATAGAAAAAAGAAAGAAAAAGTCCTAACACAATAAAAATAATTTATATTTAATGAGTATGTGGTAACCAAACTGTTTAAAGTGCTACTAGTGTTCAAAAAGTACTGATTATTCCTGGAAGTAGCTGAAGGGCTTTTTCTTTTTCCTTTTTTTATTTTCAAATCGCATGTAGGCATACCTTTAGAAAGCTCAAAAGAAGTAAAATGCCAGTCAAAATTTCATTCATATCACAGAGTCCATTTCAGCTGTGATGTTTTTATAATTCCCCTATTGAGGGACTTTTAATCCTGAGAGATCCGGTGATTTTCTCAGACCCAGATATTTATCTGTGAAGAATTTCCACCTGACATATTAATTTTTAAATTTAAATCCAATACCTTCTTTGGTTACTTCTTATGGCTAAATCCCACCTGATTCCCTAAAGTAATGAGTTTGGGCTCTCTTGACAATAACAGGATTTATACATGAGCAAGTAAAACTCATATCTAAATAACACTTTCAGATTGCATCTAAGGGTAAATTGTTAATATTTGGGAAAAGCCAAGTGATTCACTGACTAGGATATTAATAACAACAAGAAACAAACAAAAATCACCAAATTCTTCCAAAGGTTTTTGATTCTTTTTTTGGTGGCTGGCTGGTACAGGGATAGAACCCTGGACCTTGGTGTTATCAGTGCCATGCTCTAACCCACTGGGCTAACCAGCCAGCCCTGAAGGTTTTGAATTCAATTTTAAGTTACTTGGATTAATGCCAGTGTTATTTTCCAGGCAGAGAGCAAGTCTAACCATAAGAATACATGCCTCTGGTTTTGTGGGTAAAATTAAAACCCATAATCTTTATGTTTTTAAGTGAGGAACAATGACCCAACACAGGTGCATATTTGAAATTTATAAGGGGTTTTAATAAGTATTGTCTTGGTTAAAAAAAAAAAAAATCCCACAAAATTCTAGAGATAGATAGTAAGATGGTTGCTCAACACTGTAAGAGTACTTGATGCCACTGAGCTGTACGCTCAAAAATGGCTAAGATGGTAAGTTTTATGTTATGTATATTTTACCACACACAAAAAAAGTAATGTATTCATTGTTGAAAATTTAGAAAACACTATTGAAAGCCCCTAAAAATCCTTAGTAATCCCAGTGTTCGGTGGACACTTCTGTTTTATTTCTGCCTTTGTATATAGTTTGCATCCTACTTATACAATCTTTTTTAACTTTATTTTATTTTATTTTTTGTCTTTTTCCGTGTCCGGCAACGGATCGCAACCCTCAGTGTTGCCCCCGTACCGGACCTGGGACGGCAACGGGATCTCAACCCTAGGTGCTGCTCCCGAGCCTCGCTCAGCCAGTGAGCGGGAACCGGTCTGTATGTGGGATC